CCCATGTGCTCATGAGCACAACCCAGTAGTGTAGGTAATATATTTTATAATGATCTTTTGTTATCGCAACTAAACCAAAAAAAAAACGCCTACAGAAAACCGCACTCAGACTACACACCGTCCATTGTACTGTATTCTTATTTCTTTTAATCACTTTTTCAAAATATATAAGTACACCATATAGGAATAAATCGAAGCCGATTGTTAGGTCTCTCAACACATCAATCATCGCTACCAAAAAGTCTCAAGCCTAAAAATCTGGCAAAGTCCGGAAAGTTGCACAAAAATCGTTCCGCCGTATTATCTATCCTCTTAAATTGAAATTTCTTGTTCAAAATAGACCAGAGCCTTAATTGTTCAACTGATTTGGTTAATTTGTTTTAGATGAAAGTTTTTGAGATTTTGAAGAGATTTGTCCAGCCAGATTTTTGAATTTTTATTATATAAAAATTTTTAGTGCAAAGTGCAGAGGTTTTAGAAATTTTGAAAAAAACTGATTCTCTGCAGCCGGATTCCAACATTCGCTATCGCTAACTTTTATCGCCAAAAATATCCAAAAGAATAGCAGGCGCGCCTAACAATATGCAACATTTAGTTACATGCTTTGGCTGATTACACTTTGCAGCTGTTACTATTCCTAGTTGAACACAATTATAGGGTTTACCCAAAAAAATTCAAAATTGCACTTACTATACTAGAATTGAATGGGTTGCAAAACTGCAAATTGTTTCTTAAAAAATTGAATTAAAAAGCTCGAAATTCTTACGAAAGTGTCTTAATTTTTTTCTTTAATGTTGCACGAAGATTGAAATTTTGACTTATACCGTTTTTGTTAAAACATAAACTATATTTTTATAAACAAATAATTTAAATAAAATAAATAGTAAAATCTCGTCAATATGTGAGTGTCGTTAAATTATTATCAGCACTACGGATATATCACTTTTAATTTTTGACTATATATAGATACATATAGTCCAAAAGGGGAATATCTACTCTTATAAAATGTATACACATGAAAGTATGTACATTCTTTGAAACCGTTATCATACAGTCCATTGGAAGTAAATGACGTAAAATAAATTGTATAGCCGAAACTGTGGCCGCTATGATTTTCCTTCCTCTAAATCGCCCAAATTAACCTGTGTGCGCCGACGAGGTAGATGTAGCTTTACATGTTTTCGGTATTTTAGGATCTCTAAGCGAAATGGTAAGCAAACAAGGCGAACAAGTTTGGCGTCCGCACCCAGGTTCGGTACAATTTCGGGGTAATTCTTAACGTTATTTTTATTTTTTTATTATAATTATTTTAATTTTGTTTTATTTTATTTTATTTTGTTTTATTTTTTACTTTATTTCTATTTATTTATTTAATTTTGGTATATATGTTTTTAATGTATGACATGAAAGGCGTGAATTCTTATAGGAAAAATCTCAAAAGGAAAACTGCCATCACATCAGCTCGATTTTGTGTAGTACTCGTGCATATGTACATATGTACATACATATCTGCGAACATTTCACAAAACAACTTCATTCGAGTGAAGTCATTTTCTCCTCGAAGTCGTCTTATGATATTTTAATTTTTAATCATTAATAGAAGTAGTTTAAGATGTAATATTAAAAAATTTTTTTTAATGGAAGGTCCTTACATTTTAATCTAAATTCCAGCCCACAGAACGGGCAGCAGTTGTTTTGCCAAAAGTCCACAGATTACATACAGAAATAGCTTCTCCCTCACTTTAGTAAATATTTGAAAAATTCATTGAATCAGTAATCTTTTATTTTTTTATTTAACCTATTTTAATCTGTGTAATTAAGTATTTCTTCCTCCTATATTTTTAGTTATTTATTTCATTCCATTCCATTCTATTTTTTTCGTACTCAATTTAATTTATTATACCCGAGCGCACTAGTGCACAAGGGTATTATAATTTTGTTCACATAACGGTTGTTTGTAACAGCCAAAACGAATCGAGATAGATATGTAGGTGGCATATAATTATTTATTTATTTATTTATTTATTTATTTATTCGTCTATGAAACAGTAGTTTCTTACAGACTAGTTACAAAATTAATATATGCAGGACACTAAAACTATTGATTAAACTGGATACAAGATTCAAAAGAAAGAATACAAAAGATTAATAAACAAATTTCTTGAGTAAGAGAAATCAAGTGAGATAGAATTCGAGATCAAATTAAGCTCATTTAAGGTACGTACCAAGGGGGCATTGCGCGCGTAATCAGTTCTATGGATTTCACAATAGAACGGCAAAATGTTACGCAAGACTCGCTGAGGGATGTTGAAATTTATGCGACCTAAGAGAAAAGGACAATCCACACTACCATTAATAATATTAAAAACAAAAGTCAGGGAAAGTACAGAACGCCTCGTTTCCAATGACTTAAGGTTAAGCAAAAGCAAACGACTACTGTACGGTGGTATAGGATCCGAAAAGTTTAAGGACCGCAATGCGAACTTAAGAAAGACCTTTTGGACACGTTCTAACCTATTTATAAAAGTTTTGTGGAATGGCCTCCAAATATATGTAGCATATTCCAAAATGGGACGAACAAAAGATGAGTATAGTAATTTAATAGTATAGGGATCAGAGAATTTTACACAGTTCCGCCTCACGAAACCCAAAACAGAGAAGGATTTAGAAATCACAAGATTAATATGCCTACTAAAAGAAAAATTTGAAGTAAAAATGACGCCAAGATCTTTGGCCTCGGCAACAGAGTCTAGCGAAGACTCCGCGATTGTATAACTCGTTGATAAAGGACTATGAATTTTTGCAAAAGTTACTTTAAAGCACTTTTTAATATTTAAAGAGAGGCGTGATTTTATGCACCAAAGATTGAGATTATTAATGTCGGCCTGAAGCAAAGTAGCATCACTTTCGTTTCTGATCGTTGAAAATACTTTCAGGTCATCGGCATATAGCAAAAAATTTGCGAATGAAAAACATGAGCTAATGTCATTTATGAATAATATAAAAAGTAAAGGACCTAAAATACTTCCCTGGGGTACCCCAGAGGAGGCAAGGAATGCATCTGACGAAATGTCATCTATCGAGACAACACAGCGCCTGTTGATCAAGTAGGATTTAATCCACTTCAAAAAAACAGAATGGAAGCCAAGATATGCTAACTTATTAAGTAAAATCGAATGAGAGACTCTATCAAAGGCTTTACTAAAGTCCGTATAAATACAGTCAACCTGGAAACCTGCAGAAAGGGACGTCATACAGTATTCACAAAATACAGCTAGGTTAGACACAGTAGAACGATTGGAAACAAAACCATGTTGGTTAGGCAGGATTAAACTTTTAGTGATAAAATACATTTTTTCTTTGACTATAGATTCAAAAAGTTTCGATACAGTTGACAGTTTAGAAATGGGCCTGTAATTGCGAACATTATTTTTATTCCCACTCTTAAGTATAGGGTTAATAGAAGTAATTTTCCAATCCTCGATAAAGACACCCGACGCAAGAGACAAATTAAAAATACGATGTAGAGGTAGAATGAGAGCGGGACAGTTCTTGAGGAGAAGAGCAGAAAACCCATCAACATCCGCTTTCGTAGACGGTTTCAGCTTAGAAATGCCAGCTTCCACGTCATCAAGGGACAGAGTTAGAGTCCCAAAACTTAACTCCGTAGCTGAATCGTGGTTTATATCAGGCCAGGAATTACCATCATCACAGACATAGTTGGCACTAAAAAATTCAGCGAAGAGACTCGCCACCTCAGTAGGGCCACTAGCACATTTATCGTCCAAAAAGACAGTCGAAGGAATGCAAGAGCCACATTTCTTAGACTTTATGAACTGCCAAAAAGCTTTTGGATTAGATTTAATGTTCAACTCCACCCCAAAAATATAGTTTTTATAAAGGAATTTGTCTAAGCAATTAAAATCTTTAGCATATTTCTGATATTTATCAAAGAAAATCTGATTTCCTGTAACTTTAAACTTCTTGAAGAATTTATTCCTAAGGTTCTTTAACTTTTTTAACTCCCGATTATACCATGGTAGCTTATGTGGTTTATTTTTCAAAATAGGCACATTTTCCCTACATAAATCAACTAACGCTGTTTTAAAAGAATAATAGCAATTAGAAACATCCTGTCCTGAAAGTAATTCATCCCAATTGAGCATGGAAAGCGAGTTATTTAGCTTGCCGAAATCACAAGACTTGTAATTGAAGATAACTTGCTTAACAGGAGCAGATTTTAAAAATTTGTACAATTCAAATTTCAGTATTAGTGGCAGATGATGCATGTCCGGCTGAGACATAGGACAATAACATTCCTCAATATTGCAGATTATATTGTCGCTTACAAAGATTAGATCTAGAATTCTATCTAACTTGTTAACATACTTATTAATTTGATTAAGATTTAGACTTAAAATACTATCGATGAGGTATGACTCATGCGGGGCAGTTATATTGTTAGGAGTACAAGCATGTTTAGCAACATAACTGATAATTTCAGCTGCGGTGACTGTGGGCGAAAATGAGGATAAATGTAGCCACTTCTGGTTAGGGATGACACTTAATTCATTACTGTTGTTAGCTCCGATAAGTAGCGGTTGTTTCAGCTTCAAGCGCTTGTTATTAGCAACAGTCTTCCAACCTGTGGGGGATGGTTTAGTACTAGTACCAGAAGAAGTAGTTTCCGCTGTAGTGACGTTGTTTACATTAGCATCAACCGCCAGCTGGGTGGGCGACAAATGAGACGAAGGCGAAGATAGAGCCAAAAGTGTGGGAGCAGCGGACAGCATAGCGTCACTTAAAGTTGTGGGAGAGGCAACAGGCAGCTTAGCTTTGTTGGTGTTAGTGTCGTTGTTTACATCCACAGATATCAGGGTGGCCGATGAAAGAGATGAAGGCGATGATAAAGCCGAGGTTGCGGGCGCAGCACCACTAAGAGTAACAGCTGATCGAGTAGCGTCATAAGCAGAAAGAGCAACAGGCAGCTTGACACTGTTTGTGTTAGCGACTGCGGCACTATAGGTGAGATATGACTGCGTAGCATCACAAAGAGAAACAGGCGAAGAGACAGCAGATTGAGACACCGTACTGCCAGCAGGGCAGCCAGTAGAAGAAATCGGCAAAGTAGGCAAGAGAGCGTAATTAGCAGCACCAACTACGTTTTTTGATAGATTACCACTACTAAGCCTCTGGACAACGGTATTTACACAAGATCGCAGTTTATTCAACTCAGCCCTGAGCAAATCAATTGTATCATCTTTTTTGTGCAGAGAATTCTGCATGGAAAGCAGATCAGAGTGCATATTATCAGCTTTCAACACAAGTTTGCTGTTTTCTTCACGCAAAGCAGTTATCGATTTGAGCATCTGGGCATTATCAGCACGAAGAGAGATTATTATGTTGTACAAAGAGCCCAAAGATATTTGATGTTGTTGATGTTTAGCTTCACTGAGATTATTATCAGTTGTTTTTTGCAAAGCACTTGATTTAGCATTAAGAGAGTAAGATTTAGTATTAGCAGTTTTTGCGTTAGCAGAGACAACATTCCGCCCATCAGCCAATAAAGCAGGTGGCGTAGGGGGGGGGCGTCCGAATTGAGTCACGGCGTACATCCGCGCAGCCTTTACAAAAAAACTCCGTTCCGAGGCAAGCAAAAATTCGGCATCAGCAGGCTTTATTCCAACACAAGCCAAGTGAAAAATTTCATTGCATTTCGCGCACTGTATTTTTTCTTGTTGAGTACGATCAACTTTATTGCCACAGGAGCAAGGCATTACATTAAATGAATAGATAATTTCAAAGTTTTGATAAGTCTCAAAAGAGTCACTGTCTCAGTTAGTAAATTATTCACGTATACACAAATAGAACTCTATAGTATACATATGTACATTGAAGTTTGAGTGAACTTGACGAGCAAGAGAAACAAACACGTCCGCACTGCACGACGATTACTACATTATATATATAGACATATATATACATAAATGATCAGAATGAAAAGAGAAATCGATTAAGCGGTGACTGTCCGTCCGTCCGTCTGTCCGTCTGTCTGTGAACACGATAACTCGAGAAAAAAATTGAGATATGTCAACAAAATTTGGAAAGTAGGTTTCTCTTTATCCAAGGTAGGTTGGGATTGAAAATGGGCAGAATCGGACAATAACCACGCCCACCTCCCACGGTATTTTCGAAATATGCAAAAACTACGATATTTCAGCAAATACTGCATCCACATTGTTGAAAGTTGGTATGCGAAGTAGAAATTTGGCATAAAATAAGACAGTTATGAAATTTTTGGAAAATGGGCGTGGCCCCGCTGTATAAACTCCGCGATAAAAAGCTGTGTCTCTGTAGTCCCTTTACCAATCCCCACCAAACTCGCTGAGAACATTACTTAGCTTGACTATGAAACCTGTTGAAAATTTTTGAAATCCGACAAGAACCACGCCCACCTCCCATATAATGGTAATTTACAGAAATACGAAAACTGGGATAAATAAGTAACTATTTAAGCTAATTTACTCAAAATCGACATATGCAATAACCTCTTGGCAGAAACTTATAATTAGAGAAATTTTTGGAAAATGGGCGTGGCAACGCCCACTTATGTCTACATATGTTTATCTCGGTAACCGGTTTACCAATTTCTGCCAAACTCGGCAAATTTATCAACCTTGACGTGAAAAAGCAATGTGCTGAATTTTTGAAATTGGACTAAAATTACTGCTACTTACCATATAACGGTACATTTCAGAACTACAAAAACTCCTATTTTTTAATAAGCTAAGACGCCAACTTACAACAATCACTTAACAAGCCACAAGATGATTGATTACTTACTACGTAAGTGTATATTGGTCCAATTATTTCAATAAATCATAGTTTATTACCGAAATGTTTGGAAAAATACTCTTGCTTATCATGCAGTTTACTGAAAGGTGAAAAAACCATATTTAATATGTGCGCCGGGTATATAATGTTCGGTTTCGCCCGAACTTATACTTCTTTCCTTGTTTTTAAGTATAGCGCTTCTGCCTCATCTAACGGTCTTGGGCTGCTAACGATCCATTCTTACGCCCCTTCCGTCTGACTCTTAACCCATCATACAATTAAAACGAGGTCATCACGTAGTCATTTACAATTTTGTGCCGTTTTTCTCTTCTCAATTTGGTATTTCGTAAACATACTCGTACTTAGTGTTGCTTCTTCGGTGCAGCCCCTTTTCCTTGAACTAATGGTCGGTTGTTTTCATTTTCTTATTAATTTTCGTTTTACCTCTTGATTTGTGGTTGATAAAGTTGTTATTTGCGCCATGATTTGTGTTGTTTGTGTGAAATTTTGCTGGCTGTTCTTTTTTAATTGTATGTAGTAGCTGTTGATCTGTAATGAAATAGAATTAATGGTGTTTTTAAATCGTAATGCAGGGTTTTTGAAAACAAATCGCTTCTTTAGTGCTTTTTGGTAAGGGTTTTTTTTTTATTTTGTGTAGCTGCCACAAATATGTCAAAAATATACAATATAAATTTAGTTACAAAGGGGCTTCGTTTGGATGCCGACAATTCAATTAAAAGGAAAATAGTTGATACAAAAATGCTTATCCTGTTTTGATAAATAATACCAATCTCTGATTAAGAGGTGGAAATTTTATATTCTGAATTTTTGACACTATTGAAAGTGTGTCAATCTCTTAATTTCCTCTTGAAATCACTTTTATTTTCCAACGAGAAATTACCCACTTGAGGATCAAGCCCTGCCAGGTATTCGTTTGAAATTTAAATGGGATCCCAATTCATTAAATTCAAAGTGCTTGGTTACATAGTTAAAACTCGTTCTCACGACAGTCAAGTCTACATAACCGGAACCGCCCAGTCTTATATCTGGCCGATGACTGTGTCACCAACACATTTTCCAAAAGTCCCTGGGGAATTTCTATATTGGTATCAATTGAGCTGCACAGTGATCTGTTGTATTATAGATAAAGTTAAAGCCTTCGAGAATACTAAAGTGGCCAAAGCCTAAGTGCCATAGTAGGAGTATCGTAAGCGCTCCACAGATTCTAATTAAGGTACACTCTAAAAAAAAATTTGTAAATTTCCTTGCTAAAAGCTAAGTTACTGATTTCCGCCTTTTTATTCACGAAATTACATGCAAGATTATTCAACGAATAGTTTGTTTAAGTTTCGGACTTTTTAGAGTGTAATATAGCTGCTGTGGTGTGCGTAAATTTACTACGAAAGTGTGTAAAAGTTACGAAATACACATCTGCTATTTGATTTCACCCGTAGAATTGTGTAAAGCCGCTAACAAAAAGGATTTTTACACACGAAAATGTATAAACGAGAAAAATACATATTCATCGTGTAAATTTACCAAAAAATTAAAAAAAAATTAACAAAAATATACTCGATTTATAGTCGCATTTTTAAACAGATTTTTTGGAGTGTAGCCCGTTGGCCCGCAGTCTTGATAGCGATGCGAGATCTTTTGCCTCCGTACACCCTAGTATTCTATAATTATGAGCAAAATATTAACGCAGACTTAACAAGGTTAGGTTAGGTTATGCTGGCTCACCATAGACGGATATAACGTCCATAGCTTTGCCAGATGCGTTTACGATCTATGAATCAAGATGAGCCTTGAGCCTGTTCTTCTTGATGATATTAGGAAATCAGTAAGTTCCCTATCGTATGAATTACACATAACGTTTGCAAGTCTGCAACCCTTAGTTATTTTCCAAAGCCTATCCGCTTGATGGTACATGAGCAGATCTTGTGATCTTTTGATTTCCCCAAGAGGAATTATTATATTCGTCATTTGTAAGGCGTCTAAGAGAACACCCTCCTTGGCTAGCTCCTCAACTTTCTCATTACCTTCCACACACTTGTGTGCTGGGGCCCAATACAGGTAGACAGTTTTAGCCTTACCTAGCCTTCTTAGAGCCTCCTTACACTCCGCGATGGTGATCGAATTTGTTTCATATGAAAGTAGAGTCTTAATGGCCACCAAGCGAGATATATGTAGATAGTCAGTAAATTTGTATTTGCTCGCTCGTCCGATTAATTTCATGCAGTATCTCTGCCGCATCCTTCCGTGCAAAGACCTCGGCCGGATAGATACTGCAGTGATCTGGTAGCCTAAAGGACCTATGAGATACCGGTTCTGTGCAATATACTGCAGCCTCTACTCCTTCGTCCATTTTAGAATCGTCTGTATTTTACCAACTTGTTTCCTTAGATCTGCGTCTTAGAACTATCGTTTGCTGACTAATAACTCCGTTATATCTCTGGGGCTGCATATCTAGCTAAATTCTGTCCATTCGTTGACAAGCTGAATTACTGTGAAGTCCATTTGTCACACCTCCTCCTAGTTGCTGCCGCAGGTCGGGCCAAACCTATCGAGAAATCACTACTAGTACAACGAATTAAAATATTCATGCATATGTACATACATACAAATAATAGCATTAAAATTTGCCTGAAGTTAATGTAAACTTTTATTATTTTTAATTTCTGTTTCTTACGCTATTTTTGTTTTTATACATTGTTTATTTGACATGTTGACCTTGCGCGGCGACGGCTTCGCACAACTTTGCTGAGCGTGGCTTAAAAATCAACAAAGAAAGAAATCGTAAAATAAAACTCAAAAAGTAGCAAATGAGCAATAAACTCTTTGCCCCCTATTCCATTTCATATATTTTCGGAGTTGTTAACATTTTTATGCAGACCTTTTAAGCATAAGGCCTTCTATTATTTATTTTATTATTTTTTTATTTTATTTAAATTTATATCTTATTTAATTTTATTTTTTATTTGGTATTACTTCATTTTAATTTAAAATTTTTAATTTATTTCATAATTTTTATTTTTTATTTGAATACACCTTTATTTACTTTCTTTAATTTTTAATTTGTGTTCATTAATTTTTTATTCTAGTCCTATTTTATTTAGCTTTACTTAAATTTGTCTTTCGGTTTATTTTATTTCCTTTTTTGGTTTTATTTTTTTTTTTCATTTGATTAAATTAAATTTTATTTTCATTCCTTTTATTTTATTTTATCGCGTTTCATTTTATTTTATTTTATTTAAATTTATTTTATTTAATTTTTTACTTTATTTTTTCAATTCAATTTAATTTTATTTCATTCTATAGTATTTTATTTTATTGCATTTCATATTATTTTATTTTATGTTATTTATTTAATTCAATTTTTTTATTTACAATTTTTAAGTGGCAACTCAACCCAAAAAGTGTATTTACATAAGTACCCGCAGCATCTTTATTTAGATACATATTCACAGTATTGAATCGTATATACTCGGGTTATTTACTTTCGTCCAAATTATTTTTAGATGGCAATCTTATTCAAAAATTCCTTTAATTGTACATATTCTCAAAAACCACTCGCTTTATTCACAAATTTCAGTATTTTTCATACATTTTTAGAATGTTTAAAATAATTTATTTAGTTAGTGGGAGGTAACAAAAAACTTAATTTTTTTTTGGTATTTTCAAACAGATTCAGCTAACGTAAGTCTTGAAGTTTTTCCAAAATATTTTGGCGGCAATTTTAAAATG